ACTGAATTCTAGCAATCTTTACACTCTCACTATTAAAAATAAATAAAACAAGGGAATTGCAAGATAAATGGAAGAATTATTGTTCATAGATTCTCTTTGGAGAAGCAAATAAAGTGTTGGCAGAGTTAGTTTTATAGTGCACCTAAAGGCAACAGGAAACATTTCATGGAACATTTGATATTCTCAAATTGCACTCTTCTTGATGAGTATTTGCAAGAAGACCACCATGAAAATAATGAGGATGAAGAATTATATAAAGGATGAAGAAATTATATGAAGAACTTGACAAGGGCCTCCAAATTAAACTAATGTATATTTTGATACTTAGTGGTTTTGAGACAAAGGTGAGGATAGTGAAAAATATTAGAAAATATGCCTCAAGAATAAAAAATGGAGAAGCCCACACCAATACATCATGGATATTTCCTTTGAGAAAAGGACCAAAAGATGCTAGACATGGCAAGCACTGAAAAGCATCACTGAAAAATGAAATTGATTCTATTTGAACAGTCAGACCAGTGACTTGCTAGAGAAAAGATTAAAATTAATATAAGACTTTAAAAAGAAGAATAAAAATGAGAAAAGATATACAGTGGACAATTAAAGCAACATTGGAGGGACTGTGGGAAGACAGGCATATAAATAAGCTTTTGTTAGAATGATGAATTGTTTTGAGTGTTATGGAAAACAACTTGGAATTATGCCAGAAAATTTACCAAACTGTTCATACCGTTTGACCTACTGACCTCACTACTGCACATATACACCAAGGAGGGCTTAGAAAAAAGAAATATATATATACCCAAATATTCATAGCAACACTGTTAGTATCAAAGAAAAAATTGAAAATGAAGTGGTTACCCATTAATTGGGGCATGGCTGAACAAACTGCAGAAATAGAATATTATTACACCATAAGAAATGAAAAATATAGTGAATTTGCTTCTTAACATTTTCACACCATGACACCTTTTTTCCAGTTCCCCTTTATGTGCTGGAAGACAACAGGTACCTACCCATTAGAACACAAGTAGGCAAATTATGGGCTATGAGCCAAATCCAGTCTAACACCTGTTTTTGTACATCCCACAAGGTAAGAATGGCTTACGTTGTATTGGAACATAGCCATCCTCATTCATTTATGTATTGTCTGTGGCTGCTTTTGTGCTATAATAGCAGAGTTGAGTAGTTGCAGCAGAGATCATATGTGACGGTCTCATCACTTTGCGGTTCTGCTCAGCAAATTGCAGTGACAGTCATGATTCAAAAGCTTCAAGTGCTCAACCCACTGCCGTACTGTGACATTTCATTTATTACCAGTGAATGCCTGGCATGTCAAAAAAAAAAAAAAAAAGAAAAAAGAAAAAATATATATATATTATGATTTATCTCAGGGCCAATAATTGAAATTAATTTCTGGACAAGAATAACCACACTCAACCAGTATTATGGAATACTTAATGACTTTGGAAATTAGCTTGTGCTACAGACTTAATATTTCTTAATGAATTCAACCTAAAATTACAAGGCAAAACAGGGTTTTTAGGGAAAACTTACTCTGTGGTAAAGTCAATTCAGGCCACTAGGTGGCACAGTGAATACAGCACTAGGCCTGGAGTCAGAAAGACCTGAGTTCAAATACAGCCTCAGACCCTTAATAGTTATGGAGTCACAAAGGAGTCAGACACAACTGAAACAACTCAACAACAGCAACAACAGCCAATTCATTGACCATTAATGTTGTTTAAATCATAAATAATGACCAACTACTTTATATATTTCCTGTGTTGTCAAAAGTTAAACCAAGAAGCAAGATCTCTATTCCCAAACAAATTTTGCAGCATGTTTTCCAAGCTCAGGTTATGGTTGCAACAGTGTGTTTTGGACCTTGATGCAAAAAAAACAGAACAGAAGGGGAAAAAAGGAGCAAATAGTATGCTTTGATCTGCATTCAAATTCCATAGTTCTTCCTTTGGATGTGGATAGCATTTTCCGTCATGAGACTTTTGGAGATGCCTTAGATCCTTGCATTGTGGAGAAGAGCTAAGCCTATCAAAGTTAGTCATCAGACAACGTGACTGTTACTATGTCCTGGTTCAGCTCACCTTACTCAGCATCAGTCCATACAAGTCTTTCCAGGTTTTTCTAAAGTCTGCCTGCTCATCATTTCTCACAGCACAATAGTATTCCATTACATTCATATACCACAATTTATTTAGCCATTCCCCAATTGATGGGCATCCCCTCAATTTCCAATTCTTTGCCATCACAGAAAGAGCTACTATAAATATTGTTGTATATGTGGGTCCATTTCCCATTTGTATGATCTCTTTGGGTTACAACCCTAGAAGTGCTATTGCTGGGTCAAAGAGTATGCACATGAAACTCTTCTTTTTAAGGTTACTAATGACCTCCTTTTCAGTGAACCCAGCCATTCAGCTGTATCTTTTTGGTGTTTGTGAACAACCATCTACTTCTAGATCAGGAAGTCTTAGCCTTTTTTTGTGTCATGGACCCCTCTGGCAGTCTGATAAAGCCTGTGGACTCCTTCTCAGAATAATGTTTTTAAATGAATAAAAAACAGGGCTTCAAAAGAAGTCAATTATATTGAAATATAATGATCATTTTTTTTTTAAAAAAGTTCAAAGAACCCAGGTTAAGAACTCCTGTTCTGGATAGTCTCGTATATGTTGGTATCCAGAACACTTCCTTCTCCTGGTTGTCCCCCTTACTTCTATAACTTATTTTTTTTTCCTATGGACTCTTTCCTCTTCTTGGGCAGCTGGGTGGCACAGTGGATAGAGTGCTGGGCCTAGAGTCAGAAAGACTCATAGACTCATCTTTGTGAGTTCAAATAGGGCCTCAGATACTTAGTAGTGGTGTGACCCTGGACAAGTCACTTAACCTTGTTTGCCTCAGTTCCTCATCTGTAAAATGAGTTGGAGATGGAAATGACAAACCACTCCAGTATTTTTGCCAAGAAAACCCCCAAATAGGGTCACAGAGAGTCAGACACAATTGAAATGACTAAACAACAACAGCAACCTTCCTCTTCTTTCCCCTTAAATTTTGTCACTCCATAAGGCTTTGTCCATGGCAATATTAATAGTCTTTGGTGATCTAAACTAAGCCCATAATTTCAATTAGCACTTCTATACAAAAGACCCCCAAATCTCTATCTCTGGCCCCAACATTCCCCGGAAGTCTAGCCCCACATTTCCAGCTGCCTACTAGTTATCTCTACTTGTTTCACCGTGGCAGCTTAAACTTAACCTTCCCAAAGAAAGTTCATCATCTTATACCCACCACTTCTAACCACTATTTTGGCGATGGCACCATGCTCTTAACCATTCTTTAAATTCCAGGGACATCCTCGACCCTTTCCTCTCCCTTCCTCCCCGCATTCAATCAGTTGCTAAAAATTATTGGTCCTATTTATGTAATAACATTTGCATCCCTGTCCTCCTTTTCACTGTTACAGATACAACTCTAGCTAAGGTGATCTTCATCTCACTTTTGAACTCTTGCCTAATCTTTCTTCCTTCATTATTTCCCTTTACTAATTCATCTTTCACACTGCAGTCAAAACGATTTTCCTAATGCACAGATCTGATCTAGTCATCTTCTAGGTCAAACACTTTTAAAAACTCTACCAAATAAAATATTGATTCTTTACCGTCACATTCATACGCTTTCATAATCCAGTTTTCCAGTACCTTTCCAGCCTTATTTCACCCTTTTCTCCTGTATATACTCTGCACTCCAGCTCAGTTAAACTAATCATTGCTTTGCTCTAGTCTGTTCATAGCTTTTTTCAGCCTCTGCCTTTGCTTATTCCATTCCCTCTATTTATAATGGACACCTAGCCTTGATCATGGGTGTTGAATGGGTGTTGCCTCAGTCAGAATGAGACCTGTTAAAGACCTTCGCTTAAAAAAGTCAAAGTTGCCCATTGCCTATCCAGTCGTCCTGATGTACATCTTGTCACTGGACTCAGATGGCTCTAAAGGAGAAAATGAGCCTGGTGACTTTGCTCAGCCCTCCCTCACTTAAATCCAATTCACTTGAATGTCATGGCATCACCTCCATAATGTCATGGTCCTCTTCAAGAATGAAGGACAAACAATAGACTCCACTTTTCACTCCCTTGATATCTTCTCTCACTATGTTGAAAGCCTTCCTTTCTATCATTTAAAATAATCCAAGGTGCCATCTCCTTCATGAAGGCTAATCTGAGCTCCCACTGCTAAAAGTAATAATTCCCTCCTCACCTGTGGCTATTTGTGTAGAATTCTCTTTTTAATTCATTAAGATTTCAGGTTGTTGTTGTTGTTGCTTTGGTTTTATTTTGGCTATGTCTCATCTCATCTTCTAGTTTGTAAGCTACTTTATGACAGGGTCTCTATACTTGTTCTTTGCATCTTTTTATCCCCAGGGTCTAGGGCAGTGGCTTATACGTAGTAGGTTCTCAATGTTATTTGACTTAAATATAACTGTGTCCTAAGAAAGGAGAGATTTTTAACTCCTTTCCTTGTATATTTTAGAGTAAAAGATCTTCCAAAACGTCAGACTCATGGTCAGCATAATGCCATTGCCTATTTCCTACTTTGTGCAGAATATGAAGGGCTAGATACAGGGAGAAACTCATGGGGGACATATTGGTGTCTATGTTCAAATACTTGAAGGGTTGTCATGTGGAGGATAGAGTAATCCTACTCTGTTTAACCCCAGAGGTCAGATTTCAATACAGTACAAATATAGTACAGTAGATCCAAAACAGAAGTCAACTTCTTCAACTCAGGATCACCTCTGTCTCTCTCAATCTGTATATTCAATCAATCATTTAAACCTGTGGATCCTACCTTTGAAATATCTCTGGAATCTTCCTTTTCCTTCCTATTCCCAGTGCTACTTAGTAGATATGATCCTAGATGAGCAAAAAAAAAAATTTTTTTCTTTAGGAATTAGTAACATTCAAAAATGTGACTGGATTTTACCAGGAACGGGAACACCTGGAGTCTTCTCAAAAGGACTACACAAGGAAATAATGCTGAGGAACTACAGGAACCTGGTCTCATTAGGTAAGGATGGTTTTCATGTGTCTCAGATTCTGCCCTTTGGGTGTATTCATTTCCTGATTCCTGGGATGGTTTGTTTTTCCCAGTACAAATATTAGGTTCCTACATATTTTCTCATAAGCAGGTTATCAAATTTCAAAATCAGTGTAGTATTATCCCCTCAACTTCGTTTATACTCACGCCGTGTGGCCCATCTATTGTTGAATCTTCTTGTTTCCACTTTTGTAACATCTCTGGTATATATAGTCCCTTCTCTCCACTTACATAGCTGCTACTCTAATGTAGGTCCTGTTTACGTCACGCCTGTACTATTCTAATAACCTTCTGGTTTGTGTCTATGAGCCTAGGGTTCTTATGGCCCAATAGAAATGAGAACACAGGTGTCTTAGGTTCATAATGTAGGGAGATGGAAATCTGAGTTTCCACTAAGGACCAGCCTGGACTAAGACTATCCTATAACTTGTCATACTTTACTACCTGTAACCTCTAGAGCTTAGCTCCTAAAATCATGCTAGACCCTAATGGCTAGCTGGAGGGGAACTACTCTGCAGAGTCACCAGATGTTTTACCAGTGGAGAGCAAAAATTCTCTGAAGTCAACCTATTCAGTTGAGAACATTGGAGGCTGGGAGTCGATGTGGCCACAACCTCTGTGCCTGGAATCCCTGTTTTATCTTTTTTTGGAATTAAGATTGAACTGGGAATGTCCCAGGAAAGTGGGACAATATTCATTCACATTTCTCTCTCTTCATCTTATTTTGCCGCAGGCACTACCTGCTGGATTTCTGGAGGAGCAGAGGGATCAGAGTTTGTTGGCCCTATTGTCTTTTCATTGCTTTCTGTCCAGCCTGGGGTGAGTAAGGTTAGGGGAAAAAAAGGAAAGGAGGCTGGGACTCTAAGGGGCAGTGTCAGGAGGGGAGGAGAAGAGGCCTTATATCTCTTTTATTCTATTTTAATTCCAAACTTAATAAACACCAAAAAATGGGTATTTGCATATATCAGATAAAATGGGAAAAAAGATGATTGTTCATGAAACTGTAAATTTCTTACGTGCAGCTTGTTTTTCCTTTTTTATGTATATAATAAATTCAACATGTAACTTTAAAAACTATCCTGCTTATGCATTTCCTTCTGGCCTTTCTTCTGTTCTCTTTCATGCATTAAAAATACTTCAGTGACCCTCTTTTCTTTCTTTCTTTTTTTTTTCCTTTTTGGGCAATTTTATTGCCAACTTCCCTTTCCTTTCCACTATTAGAGGGGAGAAAATCTCTTGTAGCAAATATGCATAGTATAGCAAAACAAATTCACATTGCAAAGTTGTATCTCTTGAATTGAAAATTGAGTAAAGAGTCCAGTGACAGCAGGTCCAGAAACAGCCAATTCATGCTCTGGTTGGATGATCACTGATAACCACATCTCTCACTGACTTTCATCCTTCAGATAAAGGGAAAAGAGAATCAATTTCTTCAGGGCCCTGGGACAGTCTGTGGATCACCTTTATCCTTGACTTCTAAAGGCTTTTGCCCAAGTGTGTATTAATCTCATGGTTTGCCATTGGTTATTTCTTATTACCTTGCATTTTTAGAGAGCTTTGGAGTTCACAAGGCAGTTCACAAGCAGGTCATTACAGTTTTTAGTCAATAGTTTGATCCAAGTCCCTGTGTCTTACCTGCTCTCTTCACACCCAACCTTCCTCCACCCCCATGCCTTTTCTGGCTTTTCTTTGTAGGCAAAGCTGTTGTATTTTCCAACTCTAAAGAGAAAGTGACAGCCATTCACTTCTGCAGCCCTTTTATCTATTGTTTACATATGAGGATTGAACCTAATCTTAAAGCATCATTGATATTAATTTCAGAGTACCCCTCCATACTACTCTCTGAACTGCACTTTGTCAGCTTCTTTGTCTTTATAATTTCTTTACAGTCTGTAAGACCCTAAGTACTGTTTGTATGACTGAAGACTCTGGAATCTTCCTGTTAATTCTGATCTCTCTTTGCCCACAGCACTATTTAGTAGACTATAGATTCTCTGCCTGAATTTGAATGGATTTGGTTCCTAAGGAGGCAGATTTGAACCCTAGCATAAAGATCCCAGATGAGGAGACATTGTCCATGAACAAGGAGATGGCCACTTCTAGGAGTACTCATGGTCCACATTTACAAGATCAAGATGAGGTTCTGAGAATGACTTTTTCTGAGGAACATGAAACCCTTCTAAAAAGAAATACATTTGATGCTGCAGTCTCTCATCGTAACTTCAGACACTTTCAGTACGCAGAAGCAGATGGACCCCATAAAGCCCTAGGCCAACTTCGAGAGCTCTGCCATCAGTGGCTGAGGCCAGATATTCACACCAAGGAGCAGATTCTGGAGATGCTGGTATTAGAACAGTTTTGGGCAATCTTGCCTGGAGAGATCAGGACTTGGGTAAAGTCACATCATCCACAGAATGGGGAAGAGGTGGTGAACCTGATAGAGGATTTGACCCAAATGCTTAAGGAGGAAGGTAAGACTTAACAAAAGGACAGGTAGAAGACCTGAGGATGTAAGAAAGGGAAATAATGCACCTGAAGGTGGAGGGGTTAGGGTGGCAGGTGCTTGGAAAGACAACAGTGGAAAGGAAAATATCTAGAGGGTACATAAAGGGGCACAAGAGATTCTACCTGCACAAGTCAATAAGAATATTTGAACCTTCAAATGGAATCCAGATATCTTCTTGGTCCTCTATGAGCAACAGCATGTATGAAACCACAGAGGAGAGAACATTCTCCACTTGATAATCCTGTTTTGGTTTTAGATATGCAGTCTACCATCATAAAAACTTCCATGGAGGGTGTTTTTCCTCCAGAAGCTAATGCCATTCAGCTTATAAATGGAAAAGAAAAAAAAAAACAGAATGATCATTTGACTTGTACAAGTCTTTGTATGTCTTGCTTGTGTTCACATTAAGAGGACCACACAAATCTTCTGACTTCCATCTTTGTCTTTTCAAGATTAGTGTTACTCAACTGCCCATCTGTTGTGTGAAAAACTAATGCCAGTTCAAAAAAGCTTTTGCAACTTTTATTTCTTAAAACATAAAAACTCTTTGAACCCTTATTCTACTCCTTCTTCCTATACCCTTCTCCTTTCATCCCTGCTCCATTTTTTGTTCTCCCAGTGCTTCGTGTCTGCGTTGCCCTTTCCCCCTGATCTACTATACTGAAATTGTAGAGAGCACAGTGGACCCTGGCGAAGACTTCAGATATTTATAAATCCACAGTATTATTTGGGTTGAGGAAATTGTACTAAATCACCTTAATTCTGACATTAAAGCCAATGTTTTGTTTCTTTGGAGCTGCTTGACAAACTGATCTTTCACATTCTGTAAAGTAGGATAGGAGCTTGGAAAACATTCCTTCAGTAGTTAAGGAAACTACTGTGGCAGAAAGTTTGAGTTACATTCTTCACATCACATAGCAACTTGGAGATAGAGCTGCACAATCAGTGCTTCCCGGTGTATAAACCAGAGCGCTATCCTCTGCAGTCTTCTGTGACACCAAAGATGAATTTGGAGCTGTTGTTATTGATGTCCAGGGTCTTTTGTTTCACTCCTAGCAAAATCAGGGCTATTTCTGGGCTTTTGTTACCTTTTTGTTCTATAAGAAGGGCTAATGGTGTGTGGAGATTTCTAGTGTGGGATTTGACACACAGGACTAGTGTCCTTCATATCTTCATTTTCCTTCCCTAGTTCTGCCTTCTCAGGACTCTGTCCTTCCCCAAGAAGAGGAGAGAATAGGCCCTGAATTCATGACAATCAATTCCCAGGTGAGTTGGGGTTTCCCCTTTTTCTTGAAATCTTGATTCTTAGATCTTGAGTGGATATTTTTTCCTTCCATTGTTCCAGAACCAAGGAAATTTGGTCCACCCAGGTCAACAAAAAATTCCGTAGAAAATGATTTCCACTTATCTAGTATGCTGCTTCAGGATTCCTTTCCTATCCACCCAGCATTCATTCATTCAACAATGGGAAAGAGAAGTTGGTGAAATTCTTTTTTTGCCCTAATGATAGTTTTATGCTTCAAAAAGTAGAATATACAGCAAGGGAAACTCTTCTGGACCTCACTCTTACCAGTAAGGTAAGGAATCGGTTGTTGCAGTAGAAATGATGAAAACCTGAAGGCAAGTGACCACACCATGTTAAAATTTGTGATAGAGCAAGAGAGACATTCCAGGAATAGTCTGATGCACATGCTAGATTTTTGGAAAGTAGATTCCAAATGGCTACTCAGGGAAAAAAAAGGGGATAAGATTCCATGGGTTAAAATCCTGCAGGGCAAATCACCCTAAAAGAGTTTGAAAACACTAAAGAATGAAACTCTGAAAACACAAACAGATAAATTCCAATGAGAAAGAGAAGAGAGATCTTTCTAATGATACCAATGTGAATAAACATTACAAACGTAGATTTGTAAAAGATATAGAGAAGATGGAAGCAAGGACAAATAGGAAGGATGACTACTAAAAAGAATCCTGAGTCTAAAAATGATAACCTCAGAAACTCTAAAGGTCAGAATGAACTAAGGCTAGTGGTAAAGTAAATGAAGGTTTTGGTTTTTTTTTTTTTGGAACAATGTTAAGGGATTACCAAAGTCTTACTCATCTGATCATTGTTTGAAGGTGATCCTGTATTCTTAAGGTTTATGCCAGCAGAGCACAAACTCTGTTTTTACCAAGATGGAAAGGCTTTCCTGGTCCCTGCATCAGACTGCATTCAGAGGACTGTCCTAGCTAAGGACAGAATCTCATCATCAGCATACTGGCCACATAGTAATGGAGTCTTTGGCCATGGCAATCTATGAACAAAGAAGAATATAAAACGGCCCTTAGAATTACAGAATGCTGTAAATTCAGCATTTACAGTGGCATGGGTAGAGGGTACTAAGAATCACGCAATATTTAGGGCACTTATTGATCTGTTTTGTCTAGTGACCAATGAGTACACATGCTTGAGAAACTGACATATTAATCTTGAACTTCTCACTGTAAATGAAAACAGAAGATTAAAGGGAAGTTACAGCTAAGTGGGAGGATGGTTCACAGATTCTCCTTGGAGAAGCAAGCAAAGGAGTTGGCAGAGTTGGTGTTATAATACAACCAAAGCAGCATTTCCTGAGTCATTTGGTCATCTTATAGTACAGTAGTCATGAAAAGTATTTGTAAAAAGATCACCGTGAAAATAAGTTACCTTTTACATAAATATCTGTTCCAAAGAATGAAGTGATTGAGCAATTCCTTGAAGAATTTGATAATACCTTCTAAGGTAAATCAGTATATATGCTTTGATACTTGAAAACTTCAAGATAGAGGTGGGCTAAAATGATAATGTTGAAAAATATCTTGTAAAATATAGAATAAGGACTGAAAGAGGTCAGTAGCTTGTAGACTATGCAGAATTTTCATACCTGTACATCATAAAGCTTCTTCTAAGAAAAATATTGAAGAGACTGGACAAGAGAAGCCCTGAAAGATATCACCAAAATAAAATTATTTTTAACAAAGAAGGGATTCATTGATGTGGGAATCATTCTTAAATCAGTTGTCTATGAAATTAGACAACCAACTTATTGGAGCAAAGATAAAAATTAATACAAAATAAGAAAAAATCAAAATGAGGAAAAGACACAGAATACAATTAAAACTTCAGTATGACCTATTTAAACAAGTTTTTTTTAATTTTCATTTATTTATTTATTTATTTTTAGGCAGTTGGGGCTAAGTGACTTGCCCAGGGTCACACAGCTAGTAAGTGTCAAGTGTTTGGTCTGAGGCTGGATTTGAACTCAGGTACTCCTGACTTCAGGGCCGGTGCTCTATCCACTGCGCCACCTAGCTGCCCGTAAACAAGTTTTTGATCCCAAAAAATGGGAATCAGATGGGGAAAGGACATTGACCTTATTATAAGAATTTCATATGCAAGTTGCACTAAAGAAAATTGCTATAACAGGAATACCAAAGGAGCCTAAAACTTCCTTAGTTACCAAACATTTTATTGATTTGCTCAGCAGAGACATGTAACAGCTGATGACATCAATTTAGATTACAAATTCATTTGTTAAATCTTGCAAAGACTGTTGGAATATTATAAGTCATATTTCCTTCTAAACCATCAGGAAACTCTGGAGAGAAAAATAGTCTAATAAAAGGCATAATGAGAGACACAACTAAGCAGAATTATCTTGAGAAAATCTGAAAGGTTGCAAAAACAGTGAAAGTGAGAGGAAGCATGGGATAAGTCAAAATGACTCAAGTTCAGGTCTTGCTTCTGACCTACACTGGCTATATGTCCCTGGGCAAGTCATTTAACCCCTCACTCCCCAAGACAACTTTATAAGATAACAAATTGCAGAAAAGTTGCAGATCTATATTGGTAGAAGGAGCTTCCTCTTCGAAGATATCTACATGAATGAAATCACAGATCAGCCCCAAAAATAAATAAATAAGATTTAAAATATACACAGACAAAAGACATTTAAAAAATACAATTTTTTGTAATAAACTCTTTTCCCTATCAAAGATGGTGAAGCTGCCACATTTGAGCTCTACCATCACATTCTTAGCTATGTTTCTAGAGGAATAACAAAATTAAATTGAAGAGAGCAAAAGTAGAAGAAAGCAGCTAGACTAGCAAATATACCCTGAGGAGGCTCATGCTGGAGGTAACAAAATTTTTAGATCATCGAGAGATCAATTCTGGGGGCATCTGGAAGAGGAGGAGGTGCCAAAGGAGTTTTTAAATAATTTCAGATGTTATTGTCAAAAAAGATGACTGAGAAATGATCACTAACTTAAACATATGCTTACTTTCCCATCTTTAAAAAATGTTTTAAGAATTATCTTCATATCCATTGAGAGGTCACTCTTGATAGTAGTATTCATAAGATATTTAGGCCCTCCAAAGTTATCTACCACAGTGGGCCACATATTTTCCATCATACAATGGAAAAATGAACAGAAATTAAGGTTCTACTGTGCTGGTTGTTTAACTATTAAAAAAAAATAGTCTTTGATTCAATAGAATAAAATGCTGCCTTAAATGCTATCCTCCAAAAAAATGTTACTCATGCAGATGTTAAAACTATCCTGGAGTCTTTGAGAGATATAACAGAAATAACCTTGACCTTGTGATCATTTCTATCATGTGAAACATAAAACAGGGAGATAATGCCCAATAATTTCCTACTTTTATAGAGATCCAGCACAGAGTTCATATTGAAGAGAAATTCACTGTAGAAGGAAAAGTTCTCCAGATGTTCTCATTTGTCCGTGACATTGTGCTATTTAAACCCCAGATCAATAAATCAGTTCTTTAATTACGCAAAAGAGTTGTAAATGTAAGAAAAAAAAAATAAAGGATGCCTATTGTCCATGCCATGATATATAGCTGGATGGACAATCTGTAGAACTCATCCATCAACACACATCTTGGACAGAGACAGAGCATGGGGCCTGGAGTTAGGGAGACCCAAGTTCAAACCTAACCTCAGCCACTAACTAGCTGTGTGACCATGGATAATTCACTTAATTCTGTTTGTCTCAGTTTCCTTGTCTGTAAAATGAGCTAGAGAAGGAAATGGTGAACCACTCCGGTTATCTTTGCTAAGAAAAACCCCAAATGGGATCAGGAAGAGTTGGACATGACTGAAAAATGACTCAACAACAACAATGTTCAACATGAGTCAAAAGTGTGATGTTGCAGCTTAAAAAGCTGATTTCATCTTGGACTAGATTAAGAGAAGTTGAGCTTGTTGGAGTAAGGAGATGATAGCCTCTACCCTAATGAGAACACGTCTGGAGTATTGTGTTCAGTTCCACAACTTAGAAATTATCTTGATGTGCTGCAGATTTTCCAGAAGAGGGCAACCAGTTTGGTTTAGTCCTTTGATTTAATGAAGTCTCAAAGACAGTTTCACTGTCCTTTAAGGAAAAGAAATAGTCCAGCCCATATTGTGGCAGATAATCCTACCACATAGACTGGATGTAACAAGCACCATGTCATTCACAAACAAGAACACATGAAGGACTTTACCATCTATAAGGAACCCTTCAACTTGCATTTTGTACTGAATTTTTTTTGTGACAATGGTGAACACCTTTGAGAAGAATACATCTCTATATTTAATTTCTTGCTTGATAACAATAATAACGATGGTCATTGAACAAGATTCTCTCTAGTTTTATTTTTCAAGAAATCATGCATAATAACCTTCTTGGAAGAGAGTCCATAAAAGGCCTTAAGATTTTGCTGTACTAAATCAAGTATTTTTGTAACCCATAAACAATAAGTACAGTGAGATCTCATATTTTCTAATCTGTCTTTTGTATGATAATAAAGGTGTAGTTTACTGTGAAGTGTTTCTTGAGAAAACCTGCCCATTACCTTTTCATACCTCCATCCAAGGGTGGCTTAGGTAGATGATTCTATGAATTATAAAAATGTTATTAAAAGATGAAAATAAGCATATGAGCTGATCGATTTTGATGTCCTCTCAGTCACCTTTTTTGATAAGAAGGCCTGATATTTTCAATGCCTTTGGTGTCTTTTTCTCCTTCACTCATTTTCTTCTTCATTTCTCCCAAACAATTAATATCACAGTATCCTCATAATTGTTGCCTCTACCACAGACCACCCTCTGTGTACATTTGATCTTTTCCAACTGCTTTTCTCATCTTTGCTTTCTACAGTGCATTTCTACTTCCTCTAGAAACACTGTTAGACTATAATGAGAAAGAGACATGGTCTCACATGCTTTAATGTAAAAGAGTCTGTTATAAATAAGATCTTTGAAGACTTAAATATATATATAGTATATATTATATATATGTTTTCCTCCTTCTAATTTCCTCCTGTAATGCTGTCATATGACTTCATTTAGTTGACACCTTAACCAAACTTTCTTTGAGTGGGTTTTTCTCTCTAATATATCTCATTGTTTCATCAGTTGATATTCCTCATGATTTTCTTTTACCCTACTGCATAAGATTTTATTTTTTTGTTTTCTTTTCAGTAGTCTGATAGGATATAATCTTTTCATTTATTTATTTTTTGACATTATTTATTCATTTTTTATATTTTTTTAAAATTTTGATTTCCAAAGTCTTTACCTCCATCCCAACCTTTCCTCAGCCAGCAATATAATGGCAAGCAATGTAATATCATTTATGCATGTCAAGTCATGCAAAACATATTTCCATATTAGCCATGTTGCAGAAAAAGAACAATGAAAAGCAAGAAACATAAAAAAAGTGAAAAAAGTATACTTCAGTCTGCACTCAGAGTTCCTTATTTCTCTCTCTGGGAATGGATAGCATTTTTTATCATGGGTCCTTTGGAATTGCCTTTTATCATTTTTTTGATCAGAGTAGCTAAGTCTTTCACAATTGATCATCATTACAATATTGCTGTTACTGTGTACAGTGTTCTCCTGGTTCTGCTCACTTCACTTTGTGTCAGTTCATATAGGTCTTCCCTGATTTTTTCTGAAACCATCCTTCTTATAATTCTTATAGCACAATAGTATTCCATCAGCATCAGTTACCACAACTTATTCAGCTATTTCCCAATTGATGGGCATCCCCTCAATTTCCAATTCTATGTCACCACAAAAAGAGCTACTGTAAATGTTTTTGTACATATAGGTCCTTTTCCCTTTTCTTTGGTCTCTTTGGGATACAGATGTTGTAGTGGTATTGCTGGGTCAAAGAGTGTACAAAATTTTATTGCCCTTTGGGCATAGTTCCAAGTTGTTCTCCAGAATGGTTGGACCAGTTCACAACTTGACCAGCACTTCATTAGTGTTCCAATTTTTTCACATGCATTCCAGAATTTATCATTTTCCTTTTCTGTCATGTTAGCCAATTTGATAGGTGTGAGGTTGTACCTCAGAACTGTTTTTGTTTACAATTATCTATTCAGTAATGATTTAGAGCATTCTTTCATGTGCCTATTGATAGCTTTGATTTCTTCTTCTGAAAACTGCCTGTTTATGTGTTTTGACTCTTTATCAATTGGGGAATGATTCTTATTTTTATAAATCTGGCTCACTTCCCTATATATTTGATAAGTGAGGCCTTTATCAGAGAAACCTGCTGTAATTTTCTTCACCTGTTTGTTGCTTTCCTTCTCATTTTGACTACATTGGTTTTGTTTGTGCAAACTGTTTTTTAATTTCATATAATCAGAATTATACATTTTATTCCTATAATCCTCTCTATCTCTTGTTTGGTCATGAACTCTTACTTTACCCATAGATCTGACAGGTATATTTTTTTTCATGCTCCCTCAATTTGGTTATGATATCTATGTCTAAGTCATATACCCATTTTGTACTTACTTTGGCATATGTGTGAGATTTTGGTCTGTGCCTAGTTTCTGCCCTCTAGTTTTCTACTGTCTAGTTTTCTCAGCAATTTTTGTCAAATGGTGAGTTCTTGCCCCAAAAGCTTAGATTTGGAGGTTTGTCAAACATTAGATTACTGTGGTCATTTACTGTTACACATTGTGTACCTAATCTATTCTACTCATCCACTGCTCAATTTCTTACTCGGTACCAGATTTGTTTCAATGATTACTGCTTTGTAATATAGTTTGAAATCTGATACTGCTAGGTTACCTTCCTTTTTTGCATTCATTCCCTTGATATTCTTGACCTTTTATTCTTCTGAGTGAATTTGTTATTATTTTTTCTAGGTCTATAAAATAATTATTTGATAGTTTGATTGGTATGGCACTGAATAAGTAAATTAATTTCAGTAAAATTGTCATTTTTGGTATATTGGCTCAGCCTGCCCAAAAGCAATGAATATTTCTCCAATTGTTTAGATCTGTCTTTATTTTTATGAAAATTGTCCTGCAATTCTGGGCATATAGTCCCTGGGTTTGTCTTGTCAGATTCCCAAGTATTTTATGATGTCTGTAGTCATTTTAAATGGAATTTCTTTTTCTATCTCTTCTTAATGCATTTTGTTGGTAATGTATAGAAATGTTATTAGTTTACATGGGTATATTTTATATCCTACAAATTTACTAAAGTTGTTAATTGTTTCAAGTAGTTTTTCAGTTGGTTCTCTAGGGTTCTGTAAGTATATCATCATATTACCTGCAAAGAGTCATATTTTGTGTCTTCATTGCCTGTTCTTATTTCTTCAATTTCTTTTTCTTGTCTTATTGATATAGCTAGCATTTCTAATATAATATTGGATAATAGTGGTAATAATGGAGATCCTTACCTCATCCCTGATATTATTGGGAAGACTTCTAACTTATTCCCATTACAGATAATGCTTACTCTTGGGTATAGATTGATATTACTTATCATCTTAAGAAAGGCTTCATTTATTCCTATGTTTTCTAGTATTTTTAGTAGTAATGGGTGTTGTATTTTTGTCAAAAGCTTTTTTTGCATCTATTGTGATTTCATTTTATTTCTGTTGGTTTTGCTATTGATATGGTCAGTTATGATTATAATTTCCCTAATACTGAACTAGCTTTGCGTTACTGGTTTAAATCCTATCTGGTCATAGCATATGTTCTTTGCAATATAGTGTTGAAATCTCCTTGCTTGTATTTTATTTATTTAAATTTTTTGCATCAATATTCATAAGGGAAATTGACCTATAGTCTTATTTCTCTATTTTTTGCTCTCCCTGGTTTAGGTATCAAAACCATATTTGTTTCATAAAAGGAATTTGGTAGGACTCTTTCTTTACCTATTTTTACAAATACTTTATATATCATTGGAATTAAATGTTTAGTAGAATTTACTTGTAAATCCATCTGGTCTTGGGGATTTTTTCTTAGGGAGCTCATTTATGGCTTGTTCAATTTCTTTTGCTAAGCTGGGATTATTTAGATATTCTCTTCTGTTAATTTGGGTAATTTATATTTTTGTAAATATTCATCCATTTCACTTAGATTGTCAGTTTTACTGGCATGTATTTGAACAATATAATGCCTAATTAATTTCGTCTTCATTGGTGGTGCATTCACCCTTTTCCTTTTTGAAGCTAGTAATTTGCTTTTCTTCTTTCTTTTTTTAAATCAAATTAACCAATTGCTTATCTATTCTATTTTTTTCCCATAAAACCAGCTCCTAATTAGTTCAGTGTTTGTTTTTCTTTCAATTTATTAGTTTTTTTTCTTTTCAGAATTTTCATTTTGATGGTTAATTGGGGATTTTTAATTTGTTCTTTTTCTAGTTATTTTAGTTGCACGTCCAATTCATTGATCTGCTCTTCCTTTCTTTTACACATTTAGAGATATAAATAAGACCTTTCCTTCTGACCTCCTAAGTTGTCTTTGGCTAGAAAAATGTTTCAGTCTGACCTTTTGTTGTCTCTGCTACTCCAGAATTCAATTTAAGACATTATTTTAAGGTTGTTTGGAGATCTTAGATGTTAGGAGATCTCAGCTCCTCCCTGTACTCTGCCATCTTGGCCGTGCTCCTGGAAGTATCTTTTTTAAGATTTTACAAACAATTTTGTATCCTAAGCCAGTGTTGTCTTGACCATTATTTCTTCACTTGGCCAATAGGTTGACTGTTGGCTGGCTAAATCTTCAGTCTCTTTTGATCTTCTTATTATTGTATTATTGTACCTAACTTTCTTTAGTTAAATTTATTTACAAAATTATTTCAATTGGTGTTGATGTCTTCCTTCATCCATTTCCTATTTAGAGTATCCAATAACTTATTTAAAAGGTCAGGTTGGAGTTGAAGATGCTATGATTCCTTTTTATAACTTCCCTTAGTACTTGAGCTCTCACTGTTCATTCCTCTTTGAATCTTCATGACCTTACTATCTGGTTCATATAATTTAGTGCTTGCTTATATATTATTTTATATCACTCTAATCATTTTACATATGTTTTCTTCCCCAGCAAATTGTTCCTCAAAGATAGGAACTATGTCTACTACTTTGTACTTCCCTCAAAATCCAGCCCAATGCTAGATACACAGTAGGGAATCAGCAAATACTTTACAATAAAGTGAACCTTGAATTATACTAGAACCCTGAACATTGTCATAATCATTGTCTTTAAATGCTTCTCACCTCCTCTAATGATTTCAACTCTTCCCAGGCCTACATGGGGAGGTAGTTACAGATTGAACAGAAATGTCTTTGGCATTTCAGAAATCAATGGAATTCAAGGATGTAGCTGTGGATTTCACCTTGGAGGAGTGGGAACAGCTACACTTTGCTCAGAGGGAACTGTACAAGGATGTCATGCTGGAGAACTATAGGAACCTAGTCTTCCTAGGTAAGACTCTTCCCTCCTACTCTACCCCTAAAATAACTCAGAACCTCCTGTTTAAGCCATCTTTGCTTCCACACTTGCTAAATGCTATAAGATGTCTGAAATGCTTAGCTGAATTTTGGTTTGTCATTCAGGGTATGATTTCTGCTAACCCCTTTTAAGTCAAGAGACAGGATGCTTTGGCTCCTCATCCCCAGATGAAAAGTCTTTGTGGAATAGGAAATTACTACTTTTACTATACTATTCTTTAGGCTGAGCTGCCCCTTCTAGATCAAAAACTCTCCCCAAGGTCCTGGCACAGATGCTTGAAGACATGAACTGTATCCATCAGCCTTCTCTTTCTGAGAACACAATATAGACTGTCCTGTATGTCACCATCTGGTCCTTCCAAATATGTCCTTCCCAAAAGAGGAAGAGGCTAAGACTGAATTCTGTAATAACTCTTCATCTCTAGCATTTTCCCATTTCTTTCCTCATGAGTAGGGCTGTCAGTTTCTAAACCAGATGTCATCACCCAGTTGGAACAATTGCAAGCACCAGTGATACTGGATAAAGAAGTCTTAAGATGTCCCTCTCCAGGTGAGTCATTGTGGGCAACAGCTTAGCTGGTTAATTAGGAGAATATGTGTTTGAAAAGTTGGACAGGGAACTCACCTCAAAGTCCATCATCTTGGTGGAGAAGGAATGATACTAGGAATTATACTTGTAGGCCTTCAACATACTTTTTAACAAATTACCTTTCTGATGATATCTCTTTCATGCTGCTCTTTAGTTACCGACAATTGTCTCCACTGTTTACAAAGGTAGTCTTTCCACCCGTACCTTGAATTCTGTCCTTTATTACCTGAATCTGTCATTTCTCCCATGGTTAGCCTGCATTCTGAAATCTTCATTGTCTCTTCCTCTTTTCTTCTGCCTTCAAATATGCATAGCTCTGCTATACATATATATATATATAGATATAGATATAGATATAGATATATATATAGATACAATATTTTTAAAGCGTCCACAACTTATGTTTGGCCTTTCTATCTGTGTTACCTGCCTTCCAATTTTTCCATCATTTGAAAAACACAAAATACCCAAAGTACCCAAAAATATTTCCCATGTTTTGCATCAATAAATGTAGAAAAACCTTCAATAAAAGAAAATAATTGAATTGGAAGACATGGAAATGAAAGGATTTTTTTTTCCTGCTGTAGTGAAAAAGCATCTATTGAAAACTGAGAGCTAGTATTATTTATAACAGAGAAAAATGATGTAATTTTCCACTGTGTGAAGCAAAGATGCCCACCATGAACATTATTATTTGACTTAGTACTAAAAATGCTACCTTCATAAATAAGAAAAAACATAAAGAATAAGTATGAACAAAGAGGAGGCAAAAAACCATCTCTGTTTTCAAACAATATGATAATTTATCTAGAAAACTCAAGAGAATCATGACCCTCAGTCTTCACACCATCCCTTTACAAACTTATTTTTTACTACCCCTCAAAATGGTCTCTCTCTAGTGTTGTTATTGAACCCTATATCTCATTTACTGTATCTGTGTTTTTAATTATACTATGTCCCCTATTAGCAGAGTCCTACGCCTTCTGTTCTATATATCCATATCATACTTTTTTTTAAGGCTCACAGTATGTCCTACCTTTTCTATACCTTTCCCTGACAATTTTATCCCACTACAGAATCCTCCCTACTCTGGTCTTCTGGACCACTTGCAGTCTATATTATATAGTGTCACAACTTGATAATGTGTTTTCCTTTTTCCATTTTTTATATGTTAATATAATCCGCCACCACCACCAAAGTAATAGCTCCTGAAGAAAAGGGACTCTGTCTTTCAATTCTTCTTCATCTCCAGTTATGGATACCTAATAGGCACTCAGTATACATTAGATTGCTTTGAGTCAGTCATAGGACATATTACTGTTTCAGTTGCTGAAAATGTAGAAGCATGAAGAACAAGCAAATGACCCTTACAGCAACACTAAGCAATGTAGTGATATAGAGAGATATGCTGCCCAGCACAACCAGCAAATGGATTCCATCCTTGCTAGTTATACCATTTGTATTTATTATTATTGTTGTTGTTACTATTTTATTATATTAATCATTAAATAAATAATTGAAATTGATGATGATGATAGCATTTATATAGCACTATGTACCAGGCACTGTGCTGAATGCTTTACAAATGTGATCTCATTTGATCCTCCAACCCTGGGACAGAGTTGTTATTATTATCCTCATTTTACAGTAGATGAAACTGAGTCAAACAGAGGTTAAGTGACTTGTCCAGGATCACATAGGTAGTATCTGGTGCTGAATTCAAATTCAGGTTTTCCTGACTCCAGTCCCAGCACTCTATCTACGTGCCACTTAGCTGCCCATTTTTCGGTTCACTAAAGCTTTTCAGCATGGTAGCACTGAAACTGGATTCCTGTGGCACTATACACTTGGACCATGACGTTGGAACTTGTCTTTGGATATTCCCTTTGGAGATCTGGTGCACTTACCCCTATTTTTCCTGTACAAATTCTGTGTCCCCTTTCTAGGTTGAGGAACTCATCCACAGACTGAGTACAGTATTGTTTGTCCACCTTCCCTGATGAGCCAGATCCTATTGTAAGACCCTACTGGCGTGGGTGTGATTTTCAGTGTGAGAAGTCTGAAAAGATAGTCTTAGATTAGTACAACCATCTAGCTTAGGTCAGTAGTCTTTGATGAAGTTTGGCTCATATATTTTCCAAGGTAGGTTTATCTAAGAACCTTTCTTATGGTCTAGAAGCATAACAAGCTCATTTGAACCTGATAGGAAGGTTTTTTTCTCTTTTAAATTCATTATTAATGTTACTATGCTTTCACTACAAGAATTATATACTGCTTTATAATTTATAGAACACTTTTATCATTAGTTCTCTAATGTATATAATACAGGTATTATTATCCCCATGTTATGAGAGAAGAAAACTAAAGGCCAGAGATTTGGAGACTTGCTTCTAACACAGAGAGATGAAATTAGGAAGAGTGGACATTTACCTTTTTTTTTCTCCTTCCAGATAGGGAGACTGCTTCAGAAATTATGGAGTTAATTCCAAAGCAAGACATTGCTTTGAAAGAGTTAGCTCAAGAAAAACTCACAAGGGCTGGTTCCTCGGTCTACAATTTGGAAACACCTACAAAGTGTGAAATCAAATTAGAGAAACAAGACAACCAAAAGAAACATTGCCAGCAAATAACAGTTGGCAACAAGAAAACTTTTAAAAAGGTGAGCAGCTATGAATGTAAGACATTTGGGAGAAACTTAAGTTTGGGACAAATCCTTGCTCCCCAAGAGAGAATTTCTTCAGGAAAAAGTCTCCATAAATGTGATACACACTTAAGAAACTTCAAACAGTATTCTGTGCTCAAACCAACTAAATGTAATCAAGTCCCTACATCAGGGAAAAAACCTTATAAGTTTAATGAATTTAAGAAAATGTTTATTCCCCACTCAGACCTTAATGAATATCATAAAAAAACCTCTGGAGAGCTACCATACAAATGTGACAGATGTGGGAAAGTCTTCCACTGGAAGAGACATCTTGTTCAACATCAAAAAATTCATACTGGAATAAAAACCTATGAATGTACTGAATGTGGGAAAACTTTTAGGCACAGCTCATCTCTTCCTGCTCATCAAAGAATTCATACTGGAGAGAAGCCCTATAAATGTAATGAATGTGGAAAAGCCTTCAACTATAGTTCATCATTTTTTGAACATCAAAGAATCCATACTGGAACAAAACCCTATGCATGTAATGTGTGTGGTAAAGCCTTTAACCATAGCTCATCACTTACTGAGCACCAGAGAATTCATACTGGAGAGAAACCCTATGAATGTAATGAATGTGGGAAATCCTTCAGTCAGATGGGACATCTTACTAAACATCATAGAATCCATACTGGAGAAAAACCCTACACATGTAACGAATGTGGAAAATCCTTCAGTTGGAGTGCAGACCTTACTCAGCATCAGAGAATTCATACTGGAGAGAAACCCTATGAATGTAATGAATGTGGGAAGGCCTTCAGGTGGAACACATACCTTACCCAACATCAGAGAATCCATACTGGAGAGAAACCCTATGCATGTAATGAATGTGGAAAAGCCTTCAGGCAAAAGGGTCACCTCACTCAACATCAGAGGATCCATACTGGAGAAAAGCCCTATCAATGTAATGAATGTGGGAAAGCCTTCAGTGTCAGTTCATCTCTTATAAAGCATCAGAAAGTTCATTCTGGGGAGAAACCTCATAAATGAAATTAATATGGAAAATCTTTCAAGTATAGTTCAGTTTTTCTTCACCTATAAGAGAACCATGGAATAACAAAAGGAGGATTTCATATCTTCTATTAACGGCTTATTTTTTAAAAGGAGTTATCTTTCATGAAATTTGGGGGCACTTGTTTATTAGAATTAATTATGATCTTTTTTTAAATAATAAGAACATCTTATTTTCTATTTCCTTAGTTTTCAAGTGTATGTGAGGGGGTCAGAAAACTCCACTAAAGAGACAAGTCTTTCTAGCTCTCGAACTTTGAAAAAAGAAACTGATCCCTTGGTCCTCAGATATTTTAACAAATAACAAAGGGAAAGGCAGTGGTATAGTGGAAAGAACACCAGACTTGGAATCAGAATATCAAGTCTTGGGTCTGCTACTTACTGCATGTGTGACTTTGGGTAAGTCATTTAGCATCTCTGGGCCTCAGTTTCTTCATCTGTCAAATTAGGAAGTTAAATACAATGATCTCTAAGGTTCCTTCCGTTAATAGAAGATATGAAATCCTCCTTTTGTTATTCTTTGTGTGTAGAAATGTTCATGTTCCTTAATGTTTGTGAAATTAGTAACAAAAAAAGACCAACTTGTCAAGCAGGCTGGTTTTCTCATTTTCTTTCAAGGATTCCAGAGTCCAGAGTTCCCTCACACTAAAAACACAATATATCCAATGGGTGATAAGCATTTTCCACTTTCAATTCATTAATGCTACTTGAATTTGCAAGGCATTTCAGACAAGCTAATCTAAGTTGGGAAATCAGGTTCTACTAGTCATTAAGTAATCATGCTCTTCACCCAAATAAGAAAAAAACAAGGGGACATGATTGTCAAGAAAAATAATAGTCAAGGACAACTTTCATGATCTCAAAAATCTTAGAAAAATCCCCAAATTGCACAAACACTCCCCTCACCTCTTGTTCTTCATGATGTACATTTCCAGAAAAAGGAAAAGGGAAACTTTTCAAAAGTCTCAAATGCTGAACTGATATCTCAACTCTCAAGTATTTAATAAGTGCCAAGTCTGACTAAAGCTTTACCCAAATTTCATGTATATATATATACATGTATATATACACACACATATACACATATATGTATGTATATCTATATGTATACAAATCTATTGTTCTAAAAAAGCCACATTAACTTCTTTAGAAGTATTAGGAAATAATATGAGGAAGTACCTCAAGTCTACCATGTTATTAATATTATTAAAAGGTTTCCTGATTGGTTGATATTGAAGCTGAGATTGGAAGAGTGAAGCATGAATCCCAAAATTAGCTTGTGTGTGTCTGAAAGGAAAGGTACCATTTTTTTTCTTGGAATATAAAGATGTAATAGGCATTCAGCTTAAGGAGACTCAGGATAGGCCAGGGTACTCTTGGATAATTTTAATTAAGGATTTTTGTTGTTCAGTCATTTCAGCTGTGTCCAACTGCTTGTGACCGCATTTAGGGTTTTCTTGCAAAGATCCTGGAGTGGTTTGCCATTTCCTTTTCCAGCTCATTTTACAGATGAGAAAACTGAGGCAAACAGAATTAAGTGACTTGCCCAGGGTCACACAACTAGTAAGTAAGTGTCTAAAGCTAGATTCAAACTCATGAAGTTAAGGACTGGATTAGAAAATTTAGGCAACAATTATTCTGGGGCTGGGTAGAGTTCATTTGCACTTCTAATTACCATATCTTGTTATATTATTTCTGAATTTGTATGTTGCTGTTTCCCTTGTTATTAAACAAAGTCTTGAATGTGTGAAGACAGGGAATAAAAGGGGGGAAAGAGCAATCATGTTAAGACCAAAGCACTTGGAAATAGTAATAGTGGCTAAGGAGGTAGAATAAGTAAGTAGGTGGAACAGATCTGTGAATTCAAAGAACTAAGCCATATCAGGGGCCTTGGAAGGTCCAAGAAGTCCAACACTTTTTTTGCAAGTTCAGTGATCAGAGAAGTTCAATGAGAAATTAAATCCTTAAGGACTAAAGATAATTCCCCTATATTAATTCCCAAAGAAGGAGATAATATTTGAGGAACCTGACCAGAGGTCAGTAAGGGCTAAAGTCTTAAGTACAGTTAAGATAAAGGAGCATTCTTATTTTGAATTACATGGGAAAAGGTTGCTCTAAAACATAGTGGAATCATGGGGACGAATGACTCTGCTAAGAACTTTTAGGTTAGGGTAGATTGAGAACTCTTGAAACCGCCCCCCCCCCCATCTGTACTGGGTAATGTTCATTTATATGCACTTTCAATTACCTGAATTTTCTTCTTAATATTTCTGAAATTATACTTTTTCCTATTAACAGATATATCTATTTAAATATAAGATGGTACTTGCATGATAAGGGAAAGTAGAATCATGGGAACTATACATATCTCATGATGGCAACATTTGGTTATAGTATCCTTGATCCTTAAAGAATGTAGTAACTCTCCCTCCCTCTGCTGTGACCTGAAGACCAGCCCACCTGGGACCCTGGCAGCTGTCCTGGTTGTATTGCCCTTGTATCCCCATGCTCTTTGCCTAGGGTGTTTCATTTTAAGCCTTGAGCCTCCCCTTTGTCAATTAAAATGCCTATATTAAAGGCCTATTTTTTTTTAAAGGAAGTCTATGGGATGACCAGTTTGAAATGTCCAACAGGAAGTTGATGATTAGAGCTCAGGAAAAACTAAAATTGGATAAAAATATTTCTGAGTCACATGCATAAAGATAATAAATCCATAGAAATTGAAAGTCAACAAGTGAGAATGGGTAGAGAAAGAAGAAAATAGGACCTAGGCCAGGGTCTTAAAGAACACCTGCATTCAGAGGCATGAGATTAGGGAACTTTCTAATTGAGTGAATGTGGGGCAGTAGTGAGGACTAATAGTCCAGGGCCAGAATACACAGGTGGGCTGATCACTAATTAACATGGGGTATGCTGGGACAAGATATTTGGTATTCATTTAGCGACAAGGAAGGGGAGCTCTAGGTCAAGAGAGAATCTTTATTAGTCAAGCTATACTCAATGCACTTTAATCAGATCATTCAGAAAGTTTGACCATTTACTCTGAAACTTAGGCAGTTTTCTTTACATTTCTAATTACTTTCTTTATACTAAAAGACAGTATGCTGTATTGCAGAGAGAACTGGTTTGAAGATAGGAATATTTTAGTTCAAGTCCTGACTCTAACATATGCTGTCTATATGACCCCAAGCAAGTCAATTAACCTTTCAATGCCTTCAGGCAACTCTGTAACATCATAAATTACAGAAAAAATGTCAACGTGCATTGCCTCACCAAAGTTCTTTACACTAAGGATATCTCAGATCTAGCCACTATCCTACTATGTTATATACATTTTTTTTCCTTATAGGTAAACCCTAGAAAAATGACATGATCTGAGGTGTGTGGCAACAAGATAAAAGGGAAAATGAATACATGCCACAACAAGCCATCCATTGGTGGTGTCTGGGACAGAAAAAGGGATAAGAGGGAATTAGCCATGGAGAATCATCTCTGAATCCAAGGACCTCGAAGTCCAGGATGTTCAATGATTTGGGCTGGCATTCAGTAACTAGGAACCTTTAAAACAAAACTAAGGCTCAAGATTCTGAGTGCAAAGGTGAAGATTCTTGGATTTAAAATTTGGATTAATAAAAACGCATCCAAAGATGGGTTCCAAAGAGGAGTTCATCTTCCAGGAAGTCAACTTGGTTCATTGAGGCCCAAAAGTACAGGGCAGGATCTTTTAGGGGTATGGACCTGCAAAAGATAGAAGATATTTTTGTTGCCATCTTCTGTTTGATGGAAGTAAGCTAGTTCTCTTGGAACTTTGAAGCATCTCAAATTGTCTGTTATGTTTTATCCCAGAACTCTGCCTTTAATATAGATCTGACAGTAGATGTTGGAAGTGGATCACATATGGCTAATTTTGCAATAGGAAGTGTGGCAATATGGTCAAGTTTGGCCTATATCCTCCTCCCAAGGCAATGGTGGTGGATTAAAATGGTCTAGCAAGAGTTAAGTGACATATATTCTTGGCCACTAATACTTGCCTCCATGTCCTCTTCCTAAAGTCCCCCCTCCATAGCCCAAAATTGTATCTTGTTGCCCTTATCAAAAATACCATCCTCTTACTCCACCTTAGTGTGGATTAATCCAATTAGGTGACTTTTCCTAATGTTATAGAATCTCAGTTGGAAAGATTCTTTCAAGTTATCTACTTTAACTCTATATCTGCTGCATAAATCCCTTGTACATCTCCAAAAAATTGTCCTACTTTGAATTGAACACCCCAGGGATATGAGGCATACCATTCTGATACGTATAAAATTGTTAGAAGTTGAAATTTACTACACTGTCATTTCCACCCATTGACCTTATTTTTCTCCTACCTTAATCCCCGTGCCCCCATGAAGAGCAATTCTTATCCTTTCCATGTGATAGCACTTCAAACTTTTGCAAATAATCACTATGAATGCCCTAAATCTGAGGCAGCTAGGTGGTGCTATAGATATAATACTGGGCCTGGAGTTAGGAAAAACCTGAGTTCAAATCCAGCCTCAAATACTCCCTAGCTCTGTGACCCTGGGCAAGTCAACCTCTGTCTGCCACAATTTCCTCAATTATAAAATAGGGTTATTAAGAGCACCTACCTCCCAGGGTTGTTGTGAGGATCAGATGAGATATTTGTAAAGAACATAGTTCCTGGTGCATAGTAGTCACTTAATAAATGTTCTTCCTTCCAGGTTAAACATTCCTGGTGCCTTCAACCAGTTCTTATTGTTGTGCTTCATTGTCTCACTATCCTGGTCACCCTTCTCTAGTTATACTACACTTTTTTCATCATCCTTTTAAAAATGTTTAGCTCAGAACTGAGCACAACACCCTTGATATGATATAACTAGTTCAGCATAAAGCAAAGCTCCGTTCTGGCTACTATATTTTTGTTAATGTGCACTAAAATTACATTGCCTTTTTTTTGGCAGTCATGTGTCTTTGTATTAAGCTTGTAGTTAATGAAGACTTCGAGTTCTTTTTTTTTACATTAATAGCTATCAAACTATGTCTCTCACGTCTTATATTTGTGTGGTTGCGGGTTTTTCTTTACTGTTTTTGAAGCTAAAATGCATTTATTCATATTGGATTTCATATTGTTAAATACAGCCTATGCCGGCTTGTTGAAATATTTGTATTGCATTTCTATCAGGAAACATTCATATCCCTCCCAGCTTTGTGGCTATTGCAAATTTGAAAAGTACACCACTTATATCTTGATCTTTGGTTAAAATGTTGATCTCAGGTGCTAGGACAGAGTCCTACAACAACTCACAAGAGACCTCTTTCCAGATTGACATCCATCTATTAATAAGCACTCTAATCCTAGTCATTCATCATATTCCAGATTCATCAGATTGTACTATGATACTACCCACATCAATCAATCTTATCCACAAAAATAGTAGGATTTGTCAAATATTTTGCTGATACCATCTACAGAATTACTTTAAAATGTAGTCTTATAACTGTGGCAGCCCTAAATTGTCTGATGACAGAATTCATAAGTCCTTGAGGTCCTCCTGATTTTCCTATCCATTTCCTTGACCCTAATGCTCTTGCAAGTTACACTTCTCTAATCACCCCATTAGCTTTTATTTTTAACGTTTTGGGAACTATTCTTTACTTACGAAGTTAGAGATGGGAGCTAGATACTTATTGGCCCATGTCTAGCTCCCATCTCTGATGCCTGAAGTAAAGATTATTTCCCATCTCTATGAAAGCCATAAGCACTATGGTAGGAAGGATTAGTATCCTGGCACTGAAGTAACAAAATAAAGCAAAACAAAACAAAACAAAAAAATCCCTGTCCATCAATAAGGAAGAGTGATGAGAATTTGATGTAACTTAGGTTTGCCAGATCCAAAGACAGCCTCTCATAAAACCATCTTTGATCCCTTTCTCCTCCAACTGTGGCCTAAAGGCCACATACTCAAGACCCAGCCTCCCCCCTCCAACTATTGAGACCTGGTTTATCCTTCCATCTCTGGCAAGTAAGATATGTTGGCATCATTTACTTTAAATCACTTTCTTCTGCCCTCAACCCTTACAACCCTGCCTGTATGCCTTGTTTTAGTCTTTGAACTTCCCCTTGTGTGAGTTGAAACTTTTACCATAATAAAAGACATTGCTTTATATGTTACTCTGTCTGATTCTTTAGCAAAAACCTCTAAGTCCTAAAACAATTAAATGGACTGGGACACCCTCTCATTGACAGAGGTTAGGATAGTCTTGCTCTTAATGAAACCATGAGCTCCTAGTGCTCATCACTTACCCAAAGTGCCCAGAAAACAATCTATTTTAGAATTTTGTAGGAGGCAAACGTCAAATTCATTTGTCTATAGTTTATGAACTAACTCTGTTAGTTTTACTCTTTAAAAAAAAAAAAAGATCAGGGTAGAGTCCTGAGTAAAATGG